CAGAGAATTTATTGATTCTTTATTTTGGGAGCTTGCTGAAGCCATCATGGACTGCCTCTTTATGTGACTTGATATTGACTGTTGTCTCCGAGCCACCAATAATTTATTATAATTTTATTTTGTGTTTGCCTAGTGAGACCTAGTTTCTTTGTTTTGTTTTGATATGGCCAAATAGGTTGCTCGTGTGCACTAGTTTGATTTTTGACAACTTTGAAGCTCTAACGTCCTGTTACCAGGTAGTTCTGTAACTAAGTATGTGCACACAGGAGTCCGTTAAATTTTCCTGTATGGGTTCAACTTGGGTGTTCATGCAGTCAGTCACCAAGTGTGTGATGCAGACTCTCACCCCCACTCCTAGAGAGGCATGGGTGATTGGTGCAGGCACTGGACTCTGGCTGTTGTTGGGGATCACACGCTTAGCCAGGCAGGGGGCTGACGGCTGCCCCTGAGAGTCTGAAAGGAAAGCGTGTCCCTGTTCTCTAGGGTGAGTGGATAGATGAGTTTTGCAGCTGAACTATGAGCACCCCACTCTGTTGGCTTTAAAGACTCGAGGGCACCACTTTTTGTTGGACTCCTGTAGCAGGTGACTAGATGCTTTAGGTGATACCACCAATCCTCAAGCCTCTGCTGCAGATCAGTAAAAGTGCCTACTTAAGGGGCAGGGCTGTTTTGAGGATCACAGATCTGCCAGTTCACAGCTGAAGCAGTTGAAGTTAAACTTCAGATGTTTGCCCTGTAGTACTGTGGCAGTGAGGGCTAACACTGTTGAGGTGGGTCTCCACAAGTTTATACAGGGGTGTAAAGCACTCAGAGTCTGCAGACCCCTGATAACTGTGGCCAGCAAAGGAGCTGCGCTGACCCTGTTTTCCTGGCATAGGGGAACCAGCAGCTTATTTGTTCCCTCTCCAAGGCCAGGAGAATGGGTCAGGACGCCTTTTGGTAGCTACTTCCGGCCCAGCAGACTCCCGGTGTGGAGCACGGAGGGAGAAGGTAAAAGGGAGAGAGGTTTTTCCCAAATCCGGTGCCGAGGGTGGAGGGAAGAGGTAAAATGGAGAGGGGTTTTTCCCGAATGGGCTTTTTTTTTTTTAATCCCCACAAAAGGGTGCATGCAGGTACTTATCTTAGCCTCTTGGGAGCGGCTCTTCACTGGTTCGGAGGGTCCAAGCAGAATCTCTGCTGCCGGGTCTCTCTCAATGTGGAAACTGCTTCCCGAGCGCATGCCCAGCACAGCTGTTTGCCTCCTTCACCACAGACTGGCGTGGTTGTGGCTCTGCAGTTTCGCTGCAGCAGCTCTAGCCCTCCTCACCTCTTCCAAATGGTCTTCTTCTCCTGTATCACTTAGACGGATTTCTTAACTTTGCCTTGTTCAGGGCTGCCAGATGTTCACATAGAATCAAATAACTTTTTTTCCAGGTCTTTGTTGTAAGAGGCATATAGGATGCGTCTAACTACTCAGCCATGTTGACCACGCCTCTCCCAAATTCTCTTTTTCTTTGGTTTTGGCAAGTTAGATTATAATGTGCTTTGGTGAATTTCTTTTGGGATCTACGTTATGTAGGGTTCAATAAGCATCTTGGATAGATATCTTGTCATCTTTCATGATCTCAGGGAAGTTTTCTGCCAACAAATCTTCAACAATTCTCTCTGTATTTTCTGTTATCCGCCCCCCCCCCCCAATTCTGGTACTCCAATCACTTGTATGTTATTCCCCTTGATAGTGTTGCACATAATTCTTAAGGTTTCTTCATGTTTTTAAAATCCTTTTGTCTGATTTTTCCTCAAATAAGTTGTTGTCAAGTGTTTATCTTCAATCCCACTAATTCAGACTTCTATTGCCTTAATTCTGCTCCTATAACTTTCTATTGAGTTGTTTAATTTTGAAATTTTATTGTTAGTCTTCTGGATTTCTGATTGCTATCTCTCTATGGATTCTTGCAGCCTATTAAATTTGTCATGCTCTTGAATTACATTCTTAAAATCCTGTATTGCTTTGTGTGTTCCTTAGCTTGATCTGTGTTTTTGCCTCATCTCTTTGCTGATCTCTTGAAGAGTTCTGTATATCAATCTTTTGTATTCCACCTCCAGTAATTTCAAGAAATTCTCTTCCTGTGGAAAATTTCTTGATTTTCTATTTTGGGAGCTTGCTGAAGCCATCATGGTCTGCCTCTTTATGTGATTTCATATTGACTGTTGTCTCTGAGCCATAAATAAGTTATATTTATTTATTTTATTTTTGCTTACTTTGTTCTAGCTTCTTATTTTGTTTTGTTTTGATATACCCAAATAGGCTGCTCATGTGAATTAGTTTGATTATTGGCACCTTGAAGCTCTACCATCCTGTCACCAGGTGGTTAGATCTGTTACTAAGTATGTGAACACAGGATTCCATTTACTTTTCTTGTATGGCTTTAGCTCAGGTGTTTAGGTAGTCAGTCACCAAGTGAGTGGTGCAGGTTGTCACATACAGTCCTAGACTCGTGTGGGTGATTGGTGTAGGCACAGGTATCTGGCTGCAGTAAGGGGTCATGTGCTGAGCAAGGCAGGGGGCTGACGTCTGCCCCTGAGTGTCTGGGAGGAAAGTGACTCCCTGTTCTCTAGAGTGCATAGGTGAGTTTTACAGCTTGACTATGAACACCCAGTGCTGTTGGTTATAAGGACTGGGGGGCACCACTTTTTCTTGGACCCCTGTCACGTGTGGCTAGGTGAAGTATGTGGAGCCACCAGTCCTCAGGCCTGAGGTGGGTAGGTGAAGACCCTGCTTAATGGGCAGAGCAAGGTCAAATGTCACAAACCTGCCACTTCACAGCTGAAACAGTTGAAGTTAGACTTCAGGTATATACCCTGTTGTACTGTGGAAATGAGGGCCTATGCTGTTGAAATGGGCCCACACAGGTCTATGCAGGGGTGGAAGACATTCAAAGTCCATGGACCCCTTATGTCTGTGCGTTGGCAAAGGAGCTGTGCCTAACCTGAGTTCCTGGCTTAGGGGAGCTGACAGATTATTTTTTTCCCATTTGTTAATTTATTCCCTCCCCAAGGCCAGAAGAATGGCTCAGGACTCATGATGAGTCTTACTTCCGGCCCATGGACTCAACAGTCACTGAAGCTGTTCCAGACCCAGTGCAGAGCAGGGATCAGGGAGGTAAATGGGAAAGAGATTTTTCCCAAAGGGGGGTGTTTTTGGTCCAGGTGGTGGGCCAGACACAAGTACTTATCTTTTGCCAATTGAGGGCTGCTTTTCCCTGGCTCTGGATGTCCGAGTAGACTGTCTGCTACTGGTCTCTTCTGATGTGGAAAACTCCTCCTGAGTGCCACTGCTTGCCTCACCACGCACATGAGCTGATCTGGCCTGAAGGGCTCTGGCTCCTGCCAGGTCAGGTCTCGCAACTCCTTGCTGCTTCCGAACTGTCTCTCCCTTCCCTTGCCACTCTGTCTGATTCCTCAACTTTGCCTTTTATATTCAGAGCTCCTAGATTGTCATATATGATTGATTCACTTGTTTTTTCAGGTCTTTGTTGTAACGGACCACAGGAAGCATCTGAGTACTTCACCATCTTGGCCCCACCTCTCAGTTTTCTGAGCTTTTATTGTATGTTGGTATCATGTATAGTTTTCTTTTTCAATTATTTGTCTTGAGTTTTGAAGAGTGTATAAGTCAGGATTAGTTATTTTAAGAGAAACCTTAATATAGGAAATTGGTTAGAGGTATTAAAGGACTTAAAAGGCAAATGGGTACACTAAATAATGTAGATATAGTAACTTCAGGAAACAGCTACCATCGTAGGGATGGGAAACAAAGGGAAGAGATTGGGGTTATAAGGAACTAGAGGCTCCGAGGAGGGGCTGCTCAGGGCTGGGTCCCAGAACTCTGAGGAGGAAATATTGCCTGGATGCTGCTGGTATTTTAGGAGTTGTGAGAGAGACCCATTGAAAATGGGACACTAACCTCTAAGGAGAGGGCACTGCCTAACTGGTACTGATATCTGAGAAGAAAATGCTGTACCTCTGAAGGAATGTCAAAAGGGTAGTTCTGCGATATGGAAAAGCATCTGAGAACTGGAACCAGCTGTGAAGACAAGAGTCATTCACCGGAGTGATGCTAACAAGAACAGCAAGGAAAGCAGGAAGGAGCAAAACTCTCTTCCTCCCTCCAGCTTTCCATTCTCGTTCTAGTGCCTCCTATTGACAGAACCCAGCAGGAAGCCAGCTGTTTGATGAGAAATGGGGTTTGCAGAGTTGTAGCTTTGTATCACAGAGCAGAGTATAAACCTGCTGCCACTGAGTCGATTCTGACTCATAGTGACCCTATAGGACAGAGTAGAACTGCCTTATAGGGTTTCCAAGGCTGTAAATCTTTATGGAAGCAGATTGCCATACCTTTCTGCCATGAAGCAGCTGGTAAGTTTGAACTGCCAACCTTACGGTAAGCAGCTGAATGCTTAACCACTGTGCCAGCAGTGCTCTGCAAGCAGAGTACAGAGGCTAGGTTTGGAGATAAAAACTATAGCTTAATGGTGGACACAAAGCCTCTTGACTCTTTGGCTTGGTGCCTTTTCAACACGTTTAGAAAATTCTCAGACATTATTACTTTAAATATTTTTTTTGATCTATTCTCTCTTTCTTCTACTTCTTGGACTTATATTAGTATTCCTTAGTATACCCTTTGTATCTCTTACCCACTCTCCTTTACTTTTTATTATTCTGTCATTTTGAATTTTTTCCTGGCTTGTAAAACACAGAGAGGGCCTGTGTTTGCTTTTCCAGGAGCTGGGCGAGAAAAGGGAGTGCTACCATGTGGAACCACTTTGGCTGTCCTTGAAGGTCCCTGGCTCTTTCTGGAGTTTCTGGATCATTGCTCCTCCTACAAGCTCACTATCGTGGACACTAGGCTCAGCATCCTTAGGGCAGCCTAGGAGGGGGCATTTGGCCTCAGGCAACCCTCCCCCTTTCCCAGCTCCATTTCCTTGCTAATTCTGTATGGTTTCCTGCTTATTTTCCAATCTTGGAGATTTTTCTTAGTTTCCAGGAAGCCTAGTAATGCACAAGCATATTTGTTGCAGTTTATTTGAGTTCTAGTTTGGTTTTGGCAATGGGCCTCTGGAGTGTCAGACCTGCCCTGTGGCTGGAACCACCTGTCCCGCTGGCATATCGGCCTCACCCACCCTCTCAGGGGTGCCCTTACCCCTCGACTGTTCACTTGGTGCTGCACTAACAGAATCCAAGAGTCTGTTCACTGGACATTCATGGTCTGTGTCCCTGGGAAAACCAGATGAGGGAAATACAAAAAACGGGTTCTACTCTACTACTTACAGTTCTACTCCCTTCCCACGAATGTCAAGTTTTCTCATAGGGTTTTCATTGATTTTAAGTAAAGTACTTGCCAGAGCTTATATTCATGGATGCCTTAAAGTGTCCATTTATTTCAAAATAAGCAAGGGTTAGGGTTATGTTGAGTTCAAAAGCTGTAATATACCTAATTTTAAAAAGAGTTTCTTGAATAGGCAAATCAGTTGTTTACTTTCTTATGGTATGAAAATAAAACAACTGCCCTGGGCTTCAGAGTCCTGGGTCCCAGGTCATTTTGTGAATGAGAACGCGTCACAAGTGGTTGTTAGCACCAAGTCACATACGAGTGAAGTAATCATGGAGAACTTCCAACCCTGGTCCTCAGATCAGAGGTTCCTAGCAATCCTGGTTATTCCAGATTATGGCCTAAGAAATTTTGGTCACCATGCTTTAGAGCCTTAGTTCCTTCACGGGAATTGTCACTTCCAAGTCATTCTTGTTTTGTTTTTTTTTTAAATTGTACTTTAAAGGTTTACAGAACAAACTAATTCTCATTAAACGATTAATACACATATTATTTTGTGACATTGGTTGCCAACGCCACGAATGTCAACACATTCCATTACCAGCTTTCCTGTCTCCTCCTGTCTTCTTGTCCTTGCCCTTGGGCTGGTGTGCCCATTTGGTCTCATGTTGTTTTAGGGGCCTGTCTAATCTTTGGCTGAAGAGGGAACCTCAGGAGTGACATCAGTACTGAGCTATAAGGGTGTCGGGGATATAATCTGGGGGTTTCCACAATCTCTGTCAGACCAGTAAGTCTGGTCTTTTGTGTGTGTGTGTGTGAGAGAGTTAGAATTTTGTGATCCCTGTCAGAGCAGTCGGTGGTGGTAGCTGGGCACAATCTAGTTGTGCTAGACTCAGTCTTATGGAGGCTGTGGTAGCTGTGGTCCATTAGTCCTTTGGACTAATCTTTCCCTTGTGTCTTGAGTTTTCTTCATTCTTCCTTGGTCCTGACGGGGTGAGACAAGTGGAGTTTCTTAGATAGCCGCTCACAAGCTTTTAAGACTCCACACACTACTCACCAAAGTAGAATGTAGAACATATTCTTTATAAACTATGTTATGTCAGTTGAGCTAGATGTTCCTTGAGGCCATGGTCCCCAAAACCTTCAGCCCAGTAATTCAGTCCCTAAGGGAGTTTGGAATTGTCCATGGAGATTCCGTGACCTTACCCTGAGCAAGTTTTGCTGGCTTCCCCAGTATTGTGTACTGTCTTACCCTTCACCAAAGTTACCACTTATCTATTGTCTATTTAGTATTTTTTCCCCCGACCCCTACCCTGCCTCGAAACCATCAAAGATTGTTTCTTTTTGTGTGTAAACCTTTTCATGAGTTTTTACAGTAGTGGTCTCATACAATATTTGTCCTTTTGTGATTGACTTATTTCACTCAGCATAATGCCCTCCAGATTTATTCATGTTGTGATATGCTTGGCAGATTCATCATTGTTCTTTATTGTTGCATAGTATTCCATTGTGTGCATGTACCATAGTTTGTTTATCCATTCAACTGTTGATGGGCACTTAGGTTGTTTCCATCTTTTTGCTGCTGTGAATAATGCTGCAATGAACACGGGTGTGCATATGTCTATTCGTGTGATAACTCTTATTTCTCTAGGATATATTCCTAGGAGTGGGATTGCTGGGTCATATGGTATTCCTATTTCTAGCTTTTTAAGGAAGTGCCATATCATTTTCCAAAACAGTTATACCATTTTGCATTTCCACCAGCAGTGCATAAAAGTTCAAATCTCCTCACAGCCTCTCCAACGATTTAATTTTTTTGATTCATGCTGGTAACGTCGGGGTGAGACGGTATCTCATTGTGGTTTTGATTTGCATTTCTCTAATGGCTAGTTATCATGAGCACATCCTCATGTATCTGTTAGCCACTTGAATGGCTTCTTTGGTGAATTGTCTGTTCATTTCCTTTGCCCATTTTTAAATTGGAGTATTTGTCTTTTTGTTGTAGAGGTGTTGGATTTTTCTGTAGATTTTAGAGATTACACCTTTGTCGGATTTGTCATAGCCAAAAATTTTTTCTCAGTCTGTAGGTTCTCTTTGTACTCTTTTGGTGAAGTGTTTTGATAAGCATAAGTGCTTAATTTTTAGAAGATCCCAGTTACCTAGCTTATCTTCTGGTGTTTGTGTATAGATAGTTATGGTTTATATTCTGTTACTGCCGTGTATTAGGGTATTGACCCTATTTTTTCTTCCATGATCTTGATAGTTTTTGGTTTTATATTTAGGTTTTTGATCCATTTTGAATTAATTTTTGGGTATGGTGTGAGGTATGGGTACTGTTTCATTTTTTTGCAGATGAACATCCAGTTTTGCCAGCATCATTTGTTAAAAAGACTCTCTTTTCCCCATTTGATGGACTTTGGGTCCTTGTCAAAGATCAGGTGACCATAGGTGGATGGATTTACATCTGGGTTCTCAACTCTGTTCCATTGGTCAATGTGTCTGTCGTACCAGTACCAGACTGTTTTGACTACTGTAGCTGTATAGTAGGTTCTGAGGTCAGGTAGTGTGAGTCCTCCTACTTTATTCTTCTCCTTCAATAGTGCTATACTTATTCGGGGCTTCTTCCCTTTCCATATAAAGTTAATGATTAGTTTTTTTTTAAAGTTTTAAAATTTTTTCTTGTACTTCAGGTGAAGGTTTACACAATAAATAGTTTCTCATTAAACAGTAGTACACATATTATTTTATGACATTGGTTAACAACTCCATGACATGTCAACCCTCTCCCTTCTCAACCTTTTTTTTTTTT